TTGATTGAGTGCCTGGCCCTGTATTGATGGATGTGAAGATTTCTCTGCCCGATGCCCCCCCTTTCCATCATCCTGTCACCTGGTTTGCCCCTCCGCCTGTTGCTAGGCTGACACGCCGCGGCTGGCTGGCTGCTGGCTGATTGCTCAGCCCCGAGCCGGTGATTATACAGGCCTATCAGACAGCAGGTGGTATTCCCCCCCAGTGCTGTGGCTTCAAAGAAGGTGAGGCTTCTCTGCCGTCGCTGGGACTGACCGAGGACAAAATGGCTGCAGGGTCTTCCCTCATGGGTATGTATGTTCACGGTTTTCACACTTGTTTTCCCCACAAGGCAGGATTTGATTTTCCGAGAGCTCCTTCAGCATATTTTCCTGTTCACCAAGTGTTTTTTTTATGCACACCGACAAAACGATTGGTGAATTTAGTCTCATCGTGACCGTTTTGCATCCCTCGGGACTAAGGCTGTGTGTGTGTATGTGTGGATGTGTCATTGCATTGAACAAATTTAGTGATTAACTAATGGGGCAAAGCTTTGGGACTTAATAATAATTATAACGCTTGCATTTGATTTGGCACCTTATGTCGTTGAGACGCCTCAAAGCGCTTCACAGAAAAGGGTATGCTGTAAAGTGAATTAGCAGTGTTTTATGGGTGAAATACTGCATAATAGGGGAAGCAGTGGGGCACAAATCTAGCTTATGGGTTGAGGAAATGTGAAGTCAGATGATTTCCTCGATTATTTCACCCACAAAACAGTATATCATGTGAAGCGCTTTGCGACGTCTGAATGACATGATAAACACACTATATTAAATGCAAGGATTATTATTTATTATTATTCTAAAGCGATAGTGTAAATGTAAGCAGCGCGTGTGTGGGATGCATTGTGGGATTGGCTGTTGATGGGGCAATGCAGGAAAAGCAGAGTAATGCAGAGGAGTGAGTCAGCCACTTGCAACCACTATCTTATTAGCTGCATTATTCCTACAAGTCACCCATGGAAATGTTTTGTTTTCAACTGACATAGGTGCCTCTTCTCCTGCATTAAACAATCCTCTTGATTCACAGGGCTGCAGAGTCCTCTAACTTAGTGGTTAGAGCACTCGCCTCGCAAGCGCGCGACCTGAGTTTGATTCCCATGCACTGCAAAATGTTGGGCAAGTTTCTTTACTTACGTTTACCAAGCAGCAAGTAGGAACCCGATTGTTAGTCGATTGGCATATCGCTTCTCCAGGGGTAATAATTATTTTATAAAAAATCACTCAATCCACAACTGTTTGTGGAACACTGCTGTGCGCAATTGACTGCTGTGTTTTGCCCGTAAAATATACAGTCAATATGCAGTATATTCTTTGAAGTGCTTTGAGTCTCTCAAAGACATGATATCAAACGCAAGGATTATTATTATTTAGAAACATAAAATCGGTAAATTCCAATCAACCAATTGTGTGTATGAGCACAAATGGCCTCGTCTGAACATGATCACTAAAATGTTGCATTTGTTTACTTTGGTAATTTAATCTGTGGGTTCGAACAAAGTCTACCTACAGATGGGGAACTTTTTGTCATGTAAAATTAGGGTAACTGTGCCATGTGATAACTTGCCCCTTACAAGCTATACAGTTAAACCATCAGTCTGATTTTACAATTCCGTGCAAATTTAAGTGCCTTAATAAGACCAAAAATGCATTTAGGGGAAGAATGCAGAAGTGTCTGATAGGAGGAAGTCTTGTGAGATTATTTAGCAGTTGTTTGACAAAGGAACTGCAGATATCGCTGTTGATTACACAACACAGCAGTGGATTACTGTAAATAGCCCAGAAGGCAGATCTTGTCTCCCAACAGCAGGCCTATCCACATCTCAGCTGGAGGGCTGACAAGTGATCACACTACAGTACAGTACTTCCTGTTTATACCTCTCTCAGTGCAAGGTCATGGTTACAGACTGTACTAACCAGTTACTAGGAAATGACACTGACTGTAAATGGGGGGAAAAAATTACGGATTAATTTTCTGAGATCGAAATTCCATTGAATTCGCGGTTAGGGAAGTGACTTCTGTCACGTGCTCGTCTCACTCCCAAGGACAAAAGGGTACACATTTTTTTCGTACACCTTTAAACTAGGGTGAAAGTGCAATGTTTCCAAGTGTCTGCCCAACAGTACCTTAAGAATAATAACAATCCTTCCATTTGAGATATTTCCTTATTGCAACGTTAAGATATCTAAAGCACTTCACAGGATATATTGTAAAGTGCTGTGACTGTGTGTATTTTGTGGGCATTCGTTGCTATTTTATGGTTACCTTCTCCCTCCCCGGCTTGGCTTCAGCCTCCGTCACAGTTAAGAGCTCAGAGATGCTGCCCTTTGTGAAGAGCGCTATATAAATGTAAGTTGTTGCTGCTGTTGCGTGTATATTGGTACTCGGCAATAAAGCATTTGTTTCAAATGTTGGATCGAAATGTGTTTCTTGAATAAAACGTATCAGAAAAGCCAAACTGCTTTTTAAATAGATCGTTTAGTTTGTTCCTAAGTAAATGGCTATGAGGTTGGTGTGTTACTAGTAGTCTATAATAGTTTAAAGTAATCTACTGAGTTACAAGAAACTTTGGAATGTAAAAATTCTAATTGACGTCTTTACTTCAGACTTGGGTTTGTTTTGGGGATGGTCATGGTGTAAATGTCTGTTTCCTGTTTTTAAAGCAAGCCATGTTGTCCATTCTGATAGATTATCTGTATGGTTTATTTTTGGTTCTTTATCAAATAGCCATCCCACAATATTTATTCCCAAGTTAGAATATTGACTGTTTTAACTCAAACCAGTGACTGAGGCAGTCTCTCATTCATGCATTGTGTTTTACAACTGGCAGGAAGTTGTGAACAATAGTGCCCTCTGGTGTTCATGTACGAAGGTAAAATAATAATAATCCTTGCATTTGATATAGCGCTTTTTCACATCTTCTCAACATCTCAAAGCGCTTCCCAGAATATACTGTGAAGTGAATTGACTGTATATTTTGTGGGCGAAACACGACAGCCAATTGCGCACAGCAGCGTCTGTCCAACAAACAGTCATGGATTGAAAATGACCAATTTATTATTGTTTTGTTTTTTGGAGGGATTATTATTATCACATCTTCGAGATGTCTCAAAACGATTGAAGAGATGGGGGAGATAATTTTAGTGCCTTACAGAACCTGCCTCATATCCCCAGTGGCTAATAATCTTTGCATTTAATATAGAACCTTATGTCGTCTAGACTTCTCAAAGCACTTCATAGGATTTTACTGTGAAGTGCAGTGACTGTTTTTTAGCCAGATATTTCAATGACTTATCCAATTGTCAGCATCTCAGAGACTGTAAGACTAAAAACTGATTGCAGTTCACATTGCATTGAGTTTTATTTCTCTTTCTTTTCTAAATTTGGAATTTTATGGATTATGCAAAGCTTTCCAAGCTCAGTTCTTGATATTTCAAAATATTTATTCTATCCTTCCGATGAGACATCAAACTGAGGTTTCAGATGGATGTTAAAGATCCCAAAGAGAAGGAACATTTTCCCAGTGAGCAACAATTCCTCTTCCTCCCCCCATAAAATTGCTCACTCACTCCATCCTCCATCTAGTCACTCCGCTTTACATTAAATCCTGTGAAGAGTTTGGGATGTCTCCTGACGTGAAAGGCCCTGTACAAATGCAAGGATTATTATTGTTTATGTTTATTATTAATGTCTGTGTCCTATAGTACTTTGCGGATTTGAGTGGGACATACTTCAGTATCGTAACTAAAGGAATTGAACACTTAATAGAAATTCGAAATATATTGCCAATGAACCATTCAGAATAGACATTACTGTGTATTTATCTAACTGATCATTTACAGCATTGATGTAACTTTGCATGGTTTGGTTGTCTGTCTTAGATACAATCGAACTTTGCACTGAGGAATGTAGTTTGTTCAGTGCAACAAAAGTTCAGCTTTATCCAAAAGTTAAAGCATAAGAGATTACTTTTAGAGAACTGAATGATTTCCTACACAGAATCCTAAACCGCAATGTGGTGAGTAACTAAGCCATTTTAATTTGAGGATGAATTTGGAGAATGTCAAACAGGATAATTGGGAGACATTTCTTGGAATTAACATCAAGGCACCTGAATCACAACGGCTTATCTGATACAATCTCCTGCCACCCAGAATGTAGGGAAGCAGACAACTGGTATTTGTTGGTCTAACGGACAGCAATCTTCAGGACTTGGAGTCCTGTAGCTCAGTGGTAAGAGCAACTGGGTTGGATTCCCGGGCAGGGCAAAATGGTGGGCAAGTTTCTTCACTCCGCGTGTCTCTGTTTACTTAGCAGTAGGAACCCGATTGTTAGTCGATTGGTGGATCGCTTTTCCGGGGGTAATAATTCCTTGNAAAAAATAATAATAGATTGGTCACTTCAATCCATGACTGTTTATCAGTCAATTCACTTTACACTATATTCTGTGAAGCGTTTTGAGATGTCTTGAAGATGTGATAAGGCGCTATATCAAATTTCAAGGATTTTTACTAAAAAATTATTATTTTATAACTAGACTGGAACATGGTAATATAATAATCTTTGCATTTGATATAGTATATTCTGTATATTTTGTTGGCAAAACGCAGCAGCCAGTTGCGCACAGCAATGAGCCACAAACAGACGTGGGTTGAGTGACCAAATAATTATTATTATTTTTCTATGGTATGTTATAGGGGGTATTGGCAGTTTTTGCTGAGTGGTGCAAGCATATTTCAAAAACTAATTGTCCCCTTGGCTAATGATTATGACCTTGTTGCTTTGTGTAACCCAAGTATGCTTTGTTTCAGATTATAATCTAATAATACTTGCCTCATGATGTACGCCTTATCACGTCATTGAGGTGTCTCAAAGCGCTTCACAGGATATACTGTAAAGTGAATTGACTGATAGTTATTTATTATACCTGTTTATTACCTTTTGACTTTCTATCTCCTTTCAGAAATTCCGAGATGGATGCCAGTGAAGAGCTGCCAAAAAAGGTCTTCAAGGCCAGAAAGACCATGCGTGCAAGTGACCGACAGCAACTAGAGGCCATATACAAGAGCAGAGAGGAACATTTGAAATCTAACGATGAGAGCAAACCTAAACTGTGCAATGGCAAACATGAAAATGGGGATTCTGATGGCAAAAACTTGCTAAATACAAACTGCATGGATGATGTGGACGGCATTAATGATGTGAGGCTGGGCCCCGAAGAATTGCAAGGCAATTCCATTGATGAAATTGTCACAAATGTACCTGAACTAAGCACTGATGACAGATGTCTTGAACAAGAGGACTCCGCACCAAAACCTAAGAAAATGGACTCAAAACCCATGGTTGCTGTGGGCGAGCAGCAGATTCCAACTGTGAGTAGCGATACTGAGACCCATGCCTTGCTCAGCAATACTAGCCGAGGAGAGGCCTCGGTAAGGCTGGAGAGTGGGGAGTTGACGCAGGAGTTGTTAGTTGTGGATCGATCGTGTACGGATTCCCAAAGCCTTTCAGAAGAGAAAAGGATACCTTCTGACAGTAACAGCAGGAGTCAGAAAGTGACAGATGAAAACAGCCTTAAGTTACAGTCTTCCTCTCCCTCTGTGAGAGATAAGGAAGACTCCAAAAATTTGCTGGACATTAGTGAGGAGGCAATAACTAGTAGCATCGAGTCTGTGCAGGAGAAGGAGGGTTGTGAAGAATCGAAGATGGAGTGTATGGGAGCTGGAGGTGGCAATGTAGATAAAGACAAGACAAGCGAGAGGAAATCTACTGGCAACATCCAACTGCAAATGGAAGAAATAATCCCGATATTGGAGAAACTGGCCCCGGAGAAGGAAAATAATTTATCCAACGACCAAAATGATGTACCTCCCATTCCTTCCCCCGCACCAATGGACAGTCCATTTAGTGAGTTGCAAGACGAGCAAATGGAAGCTTCCGCGAGCAGTTCTCCAACAAAAGAGGACTGCAATGGCAACTTGCCCGAGGGAGCCTTCCTTGTCTTGTCCGATGAAGATGAGCCAGTAATCGAGATGCCACCTGAAGTCGAAGAGGTGGTATTGAAAGTTGAGAGCCGAGGTAAGCTTGCTTGGTAATCCTCACACTCGTTTTTAAATCCCTTCACATCCTGACACCTTCCTACATCTCCAACCTGCTTATTCCCCCCCACCCACTGCCTCCACTCGACTGGCTCCGGCTTTCTGTTTGCCCCTCGTACCCTCCGTTCCACCATTGATGGCCGCATTTTCCTCCACTACGTCCCGAAACGCTGGAACACTCTTCCTCTATCCCCGTCCTTCCCCATTTTCAGGTTGCACTTGAAGACCTTCCAATTCAATCGTGCTTAAGGTCACCTCCCCCTGGCTGCCATCACTGTCAAATGCTCTGGGAAGCTACCCTGCGTGTTATTGTTGTTGTGTATTCCTCTCGTTCATTCACAATATGTTGCAGGGAAATTTTATACCAGATTAAAGGTTAGCACAAGGAATGAATATTGTTCTTTCAGTGTGGTACATGACTGAATTTATTCACTGAGTGAGATAAAAGACATCCACCAATTCTAAGTCTAATGTGAAATAGATATGTATGCACAGTAGGTGGCCGTTTGTCTCATTGTTTCCCATGCATTCGGTGTTTGCTCCTCCCAAGAAGCCTCATCCCAATTCCTTATGCTTTCCATATCCCCACTAATTCCCTATCAAGTGCTCCGCGGCACTACTCCCTGTGAAGAATTCTATATAAATGCAAAATACTCCAGGTGCTGGAAATCTGAAACAAAAACAGAAGTCGCTGGGAACACAAAGCAGGTCAGGCAGCATCTATGGAGATGTTGTTGTAATAATCGAAGCCTTAGTCAAGTTTCCTTACTCCACACATCTCGGTTTACCTTGCAGTAAGTAGAAACCCAGTTGTTAGTCGATTGGCAGATCACTTTCCATAGGTAGTAATCCCTTTAAATAAATAATAATTATTTGGTCACTCAATCCACACCTGTTTGTGGGACACTGCTGTGCATAATTGGCTGCACATTTCACCCACAAAATATACAATTGCTCTGCTTCGCAGAGTATTCTGTGAAGCACTTTGAGACGTCTCAACGATGTGATAAGGCGCTAAACCAAATGCAAGTATTATTGTTATTAATACCCTTTGAATTTTTTTTAAAATGCTCCAATCAACCCTGAGAAATCACTCTTTAACAATCCTCTAAGTTAACAAGGCTTGAGGAGTTTACAAAGGGAATTAATTCAAATTACAGATCTAACCACAATTTAGCACCAAATCATGCATCTGACACAGATTAGAAATAATCCAATGTTTAGAAGTGAGATTTAAAACCTTGAGGGTTGTGAAAATGTGAGAGGCCATTCAGGTAGAATCAATTAGGATGTTCAAAAGTCATTTAGATAGACTTCATAATTTGTATACTTAATGGTATGTGTGTGTGGAGAAAAGGTGGGGGAACAGGGTTAAAAGATAATGATAATAATTCTTGCATTTCATATTGCACCTTATCACGACTTAGAGACGTCTCAAAGCGCTTCACTGGATTGACTGTATTTTATGGGCAATCTGCCATAATCTAATAAACTCTTGAAACAGATGAAATGGCTGAATTGTCTCCTGTTTTTGTCACAGGGGTTGAAAATGGGAAACTCAAGACTACAGAGTTTGTGTAGTGAGGTTTGTTAAGTCCTATACTTGACTGAGTAGACGGAGCTTGATCCTACATCTACTGTGTGTAAACCAACAGTGTCTCAATCTAACACTGTTCAACCAGTTGGGGTAGGCTGACTAAGTGATTTCCTCACTGAATTGACAATTAGAAGTTTCAGCGAGGATGGATTCTTGGTAAATTGTTACTTAGCATCTAGATCAGTTTCACTGCTGTCTGTACCTGCTGAAAGATTTTACTCCAGATAATTCCTGCCCTCCACGCTTACTTCAAAGGATTACTGTACGAGGATTGTCAGACTTTAAAATCAGCTAGAAATGACTTGTGCCTGAGGCTGTACATATTTCTTAAGTAATTTAGCATTGTATTGCAGGAATGGCAGGATATGAGAGTCAGATCAAATCGCATCTCCTGGGAAATTGGATGTGTAACCAGCTAGGTCAATGGCATCCAATGGTATTCCTGCCTGAAACTGTCACTATGTATATTTTAGGCCAGATTGCACATTAGTCTGATTGTAAATCGTCTCGACACTGACATGTGAGGCTGGGATCTGAAACTAGGGATAATTCCCTAATGATCACAGTAATAATAAATAATAATCCTTGTATTTGATATGGCGCCTTATCACGTCTTCAAGACGTTTCAACGCGCTTCACGGAATATACTGTCAAGTGAATTGACTGTCTATTTTGTGCGCGGAATGCGGCAGCCAATTGCGTACAGCAGTGTCCCACAAACATCAAGTGACCAAATTACTATTATTANTTTTTTGGAAGGACTTATTACCACCGGAAAAGCTATTCACCAATCAACTAACAACCGAGTTCCTATTTACTGCTCGGTAAACAGGCGTGTGGAGTAAGGAAACTAGCCCGATGTTTTGTCCTGCTGCTTGGTCTCTCGCTTGCAAGGCGAGTGCTCTAACCACTGAGCTTCAGGTCTCCCTCCCAAAGGAGGCGTTGTTGCTGCTGGTCCTCAGTGGGCATGTGGAAGGTGAATGGAGTAGTCTGAGCGTTGAGGCAAGAAGGGGAGAGGACTTAATAAGGTTGAGCCATTTAGTGTTGGAATAGAACCCTGACCCTCACTGACACTCTCCACCCTGCCCTCCACAACTTGTCTATTAGAATTAGTTGACTCTTTGGAAATAATTCAACTTTCTGGAATTAGCTAATCAGGATGCGTCTCTCCAGGGAGAGAGTGTACATTCCATTCCAACAATCCATCTCTTGAATTTCCATGTGTAGGTGGGGGACAGCATCGGCATCCAAGGCTGCACTCTCCACCTCTCAAAGCCAGTCAGGAACCTCGGTGTTCTGTTCGACCCTGAGCTGTCCTTTCTTCCTCATATCCGCACCACAACCGGCACCGCCTTCCATCACCTCCGAAACATCACCAGACTACGGCATTACCTCACCCCTCACGCGGCTGAAACCCTGGTCCACACCTTTATCACCTCAAGGCTGGACTATGGGAACTCTCTCCTCGTCGGCCTTCCCGGCCCTCCCTCCACACTGCAGGTCATTCAGAACTCTGCAGCTTGTGTAATGTTCCACACCAGACACCGCGACCACATCACTCCCACCCTCACCCTCGCCCTCACTCCCACCCTCACCCTCACTCCCACCCTCGCTCGCCTCCACTGGCTCCCCATCCCCCAGAGGATCGAATTCAAGAACCTCATCCTCACCTACGAGGCCATTTACGGCCTCGCTCCCTCCTACCTCTCCGACCTACTATCCCCCTACTTACCTGCCCGTACCCTCCGTTCCTCTGGCTCCGGTCTGCTCCACATCCCCCACCTCAACCGCCCTACCATCGGTGGCCTTCAGCCTCTCAGCCCCAAGGCTCTGGAACTCCATCCCCCAGTGCCTTCGCCGCTTCCTCCCTTTTCTCCTTCAAGGCCGGTCTCAAGACTTTCTCTTTGACCTTCAGCCTTCAGCTCCCCTCTCGACTCTCTACCCCCTCCTCGCTCCCTCCCTTCCCTCCCCTCACCCTGACCATTTCCCCCCTTCTCGCTCCCTCCCTTCCCTCCCTCACCCTGACCATTTCCCCCTCCTCGCTCCCTCCCTTCCCTCCCCCTGACCATTTTCCCCCTGCTCGGGTCCTGACCCAACTGTCCAGCGCCTTGGGACGTCCTCCCGACGTGAAAGGCGCTCTCTAAATGGAATATTGTTGTTGTTGTATATGGAATTCTCTGCTTGGTCTGGAGACTCTTAAGCATGGAGACGGGTTTCCGCGTGTATCAGACACCCGGCTGACCCCAAAAAAACTTTGGAAGTTACCAAATTGTTTGTTCAATTGGAGTCTTATTACACCGCAGTTTGATTTATTGCCGACTTGGTTTTAAGCAGATAAACAAGAAGTTTTTTCAATTTTGAGGAGTCAGGAACCAGAGCATGAATTGAATATTGTGTCATCCGAAGTAAAGTGGGACAGATTAAAGAGGATTTTTGTATAGATGTTTATCAGAATGGCAGTTGAAGCTGAATTCAAACTAGCATCTCACTGGATAAATATGGAGGTGAGAAATATAGTGAATTAATATAATAGTTACAAGGAAAGAGTGGGGGAATGGGATTTGACTAGATGGCTTCTTTGGCAACCTAGTACAATGTAGACATGATGGACCAAATGGCTTCCTGTTATATAAATGTTCTCTGGTTCTATGACTTAACACTGTCATAGTAGGTTTTGTTAACTGTTTGCTTTGGTCAGAGTTTATGTTCATGACAAATAGATCAGTGATTCTTAATATCACAGGTCAAAAAGATCCAGTCTGAGTAAATTTATATTTTACCAGCGATTGGTCTGCAACCTATGTGTGAAATCGGGCCGTGTGTGTTTGGGTTCAAACAGAAAATTGGGGCGGTTTCAACTTCTACCTGGATCAGGACTGCATAATGGGAATCAGCAGCCGCATTTATCTGATGCTAAAGAATCTGGAGAATGCAGCAAATGAGGTTAAAAGATGGTAAAATTTGAACTAGCTCAAATAGCGAGCACCAGTGTGGTTGTGATTTAGGGATGTGCTACAAGGCTTATAAAACAGCATGAGTTTATGTGGTTTATACAGTTACCTGAACCTTCACACCATCACTAATTCGGATTCAGTGCTGAATCACCTTCTCACGCCTGACTTTGCTGTCTTCTTATAAAGTTTTATTTCCAACCATGAGTAAAAAAAAATTGGGCCTTTTACTGGCCGAGGTTTATTAGGTTTATTAGGTTTCTTAGGTTTATTGCCACAGACATTTCTGCTGGGTTTTATTGCTTTGCGTCATGTCCTTGAGGGGGGGAAAGGTTCAATACTGACCTGAGGCAGAGCTTAGTTTGTTTGAGTTTACGACACTGGGAAAAGCCTTGTTGAGGCTGATGCTCCAGTACAGTGCTGGAGGAGAGCTGCATTGTTGGAAGGTGCTGTCCTGAGTAATTAGGAACAGATGTGTACTAAGAAATACAGAGCGCTACATGATTCCACTTTGTTTAATATGTTTTGGTTTTGCTTCACAGATAAAGATCACAAAGAGCAAACTGCTGAGACGACACAAGAGCCAGAACCAAGTAAGTACTTTCTCCGAGAAGAATAATTAGGGGTTAAGTTGTTGCACAGAATAAGCTTAATTGCATTTTGTCCCTACACATTTTACTTGTGTGGCCTGGCTCTGTTAGTAGGCCTCTCGCCTCTGGGTCAGAAGATTGTGGGTTCAAGCCCCACCTCTGGACGTTGAGCTTGTTTGACTGATGCTCCAGTGGAGTGCTGGGGGAGCGCTGCATTGTCGGAAGGTGCTGTCCTGTGTGAAGGACGCTGTGTAAATGCAAGTTGTTGTTGTAGCAGTGCTTATAACAATACTTGACAGCTGTTAATCGATGGTTTCAAAACAGTCAAACTACGGAAAATTCACTGAGGTAAGGGTTTTTGCCGCTATATCAAATGCAAGGATTATTATTATTAATTATTATACAAATGTTTGGATGGAATTTTCCCCCTCAGAACCCCTACTCTACCAGTCTTCTGGTTTCTAGACTAGGGTTCTTTATGGCCTTTTGGAATAAAATTGGCCATTTAGTGTTGCCGAGTGGCAGGTTTGTGATTTCTTTTTACTGCAACTTGTCTGCATTCAATTACATCAAACGCACTCACACAGAACTCACCTGCTGTACATCTGCATTGGGCACTAGTGCATTGTTTCAGCATCTCTGACCTTCCATTTGCATGAAAGTGTAACCAAAATACAGATAGCATAGGCATATTCGTGTTTTTTCCATCCTCTTAACTTTCATCAAAATATGAAGAACAATGCTAGGGGAGACATTGGAGGAGGATGGAGCGGTCAACTGTATCAAGGGTAACAAGAGAGGTCAAGGAGGAAGGGAAGACAGAGGGAGCTCTGGTCAGAGATGGATAGGATTGAGTTTCCTTACCATTTGTCACTTTGACCGGGGCTGTTTCTGTGCTGTGGGTGAAGGAGTTTTCGTGGAGAATGGTGGGAGAGGAAGGAGCTAAGATGGAAAGCAATGATTTGTTGAGTAAAGGAAGGTTAGGAGATGAGACTGATCTGTACTCTCCCTAATGAAAAAAAATTGGGCACATTTTGTATGTGCCAACTATTAGGCTCAGTTGATAGCATATTGGCCTCAGGGTCAGAAGGATGTGGGCCTGCATTGGGGATTTAGAATTCATAATCTGGGTTAATCCTCCAGATTTTTGTTGGGGGAGCATTGCGTTGTCAGAGGTGCTGCCCTTCAAATGAGACAATAAACTGATGGAGCATGAAACCAAGGTCTTCTCTGTGTTCAGGTGGGCCTTAAAGAGCATAGAACCTATTTGTCCTGGCTAACAATCCATCAATTAAATTAGTTATCCTACTTGTTTGTGGGACATTGCTGCGAGGAAATTAGGTTGTGTTCACCTTTAAATGGTAATCACTTTCGAGAATACCTCTGAAATGTTATTATGATGTTTTGACGTGGTAAGATGCTGAATCAAAAGTGAGAATTTTTCGATTTCCAACTGTGGTATTACATACCAGGAAATGTGTGCAGTCCAGGATCCTGTTAACTCTGATGCCAGCACTCAGCTGATTGACCCTGGTACAGGCTAACTTCTAGAATTCAGTTGTACGGTAGAGAATCTGATCACTGCAATAATTGGAACTGATCCCGTGGTCGATTAAAACAGTGGTTGCTTATTTTCTTTCTACGCTCACTGACTTCTTGATGAGAGGTTTAAACCAAACTTTTTGGTCCTATTCTGTGTGTTGCGTCTGCTTGTTCAAGTGGCTGTTAAAGAGCCCATGGTATAATTAGAAAGGAGAAGGGAGTTTCTCTCTCCTGGTGTCCTGAACAACAATACCCAGATAAAATTGGTCATTCACTTTATGGTTGTGTATGGGACATTGCTGTGCAAAAATTGGCTGCTGTGTTTGCCTACAGAATACACAATTACTACACTTTACAGTAAATCAACTAAAAACCAAAAACAGCCCAAATTTCAGTACAAAAAACGTTTTGCTCACAAAATATACAGTCAATTCGCTTAACAGTATATTCTGTGAAGAGCTTTGAGACTTCTAAATGACGTAAAATATCAAATCACAGAATCATAGGATTATGCAACACAGAAGGATCCATTCGGCCCATCATGTCTGTGCCGCTTCTTTGAAAAGAGCTATCCAATTCAATCCCATTCCCCGCTCTCTTCCCATAGCCCCGATCAACCCCACTCCCCCACACTCTCCCCACAGCTCTGCAAACTTATCCTCGCCAAATAATGATCTACTTCTCTCTTAAAAGTTGTTATCGAATCGGTTCCCACCAGCCTTTCAGACAATGCATTCCAGATCCCAACAACTCGCTGTGTAAAAAAAAATTGCTCCTCACCTTCTCTCTGTTTTATTTAACAACTATTTTAAATGGGTGTCCTCGGGTTACCGACCCACCCGCCAGGGGGAATAGTTTCTCCTTGGTCACCCTATCGAATCCCCTCATAATTTTGAAAACTTCTTTTGAAAAATGCAAGTATTTTTATTATAACTTCCACACAGCAGCTCCAATGCCAAGCAGTTTGCTGATATATGAAAAAGCTTCACATTTGTAATAATATCTTGCTTCAGAGATGTTCTTTTGTACATTTGGTGTGCAATCCATCACATTCACAGAACACTTCCAAGTGGTAAAGCGTGTTTTTAAAAATATTTTTCGCCAAAATGTCCAAAGATTCCAAAGAGAAAAATAACCAAGACAATTGTGATCCATCTTTGTAGATGAAGTTGTTACCCGCAAAAGGTTCAAGTCCGAGGACATGGAGGGCAGCATATCCAAGCGACGTCGTTTTTCTGGAGAGGAGTATGAAGCTGCTTTAAAGGTCAAGATCACCGCCAGAGGAGAAATCCACGAAACACTGGAAAAGGCATGTGATCTTACTACCGAGTCTGTGCTCTGTGTTCAACAGCAATAACACAGCTCCCCTTGCTACAGGAGGGTTTCTCAAAGTGACGGTGGAAGCAGAAAGTCTTGATTCCTTCTTAAGCAAATTAGATAGATTTCTTTTAGGAGATGCAGTATATGAGTAGTTCAGGACTTGACGCGTGCATGCGACTGCCAGGATTGTGGAAGGCAGACTGGATGGACCTTAGTCTTTTTCTCGTCTAGCATTTCCTATGTTCCTAAAGCACTTAACATCGCTGGCTGGAAGCCTGAGCTGGTGGGAGGAAGGTAATTGAGGAAGATGAAAAGTAGTCAGAATTTCAGTCCAAACCCCCTTAAGTCCATCTTTTCAAACCAGTTACGGAATGGGTGAGGCGGAGGGACAGAATGGGTGAAAGCTTGCTTACTGATGGCAGGCAAATTGAGCAAGGGACATGAGACTGATTGACTCCGTGAAGGGTTGCGGAGATAGTGTCAGACCGAGGTCACGGATGGATTTTAACATGAGGATCTTGGAAATCGATCTGCTGGCAAATGGTGAGTCCAGTGAGTGGGGTAATGGGCTCTCAGAGCTGGTGCTGGAGAGGGCATAGGCAAGGCTGCGGAGATCAGAATAGTCTGATGACCACAGAATGGGTGAAGGAGCCTGTCGAGCTTGGATGTGATGAAGGTGTGAAAATATGGACTTAGGCTACAAGTCCTTGAAAACCTTGATCTTCGCTTCTTAGGCATCTTTACCTTTCAGACCTGCTTAATCTTCACTCCGCTCGGCTGGCTCTCGCCTCCTGCTTGCACCTCATCCCCTGTTAAGAGCTGCGAGACGCTGCCCCGTGAAGGGCACTGTGTAACTACAAGTTGCTGAATGAATAATATTAATTAATTAAGTTGCTGTTGTTAATTGAATAATATTAATTAACAATAATAATATGCTGAATGGGTTGCCTTGCCGGCCCAGGGGGAGAGTTATTAAAGGCGGTCCCAGCTGGTTCCTAGTAATTAACTCACTCAATTTCTATTTCAGATCGTTCAGCAAATAATCCAGGAGCGGCTCAGTTCCATGCAGAGTGGGGTCTTCGAAAAGAAGCTTGCGGAGCTGAAGAAACGCGTGGAAAAGATCGAGTGCAACAAGAGGCATGAATCTTTAATCAGCAGCTTACAGGCAAGTGCTAAAAATACAGCCTTCTCCAAAACTGGGTTGAAATTCCTTGGGAAAGAAGGGTTTGGTTTGAGCCAGAAGGTGGAGGCACAGGGAAATAATTGTCTTATGTTCTGTCAGTACCATGTGGCATTCTGTTCTCTCCCATCCTGAATCTGTCATTGCCACTTGCCACCATAAGTGTTCTCTCAAGTCAGTTCAATAGATCGTTTCCACAGCAATCATCTTAGGGTAAAATCATAAATCAAATAACATTGACTTGAGACTAACCTGTAGCAAGAAAATGAAAAGACAAACTCAATTGCTTCAGCATTCTCCTGAATGTCTGAGCAACTCTGTCCGTACCTGGAAGTTTCATTGCAAGAATAGTGTGTACGGTCATGTCAAATTGAAGAAAAGGGAAATCGCACTGAACGTCCTAAAAATGTAAACTTTGGGAATCAAGCCATCTTAAGAGTAAAATGCATTATCAAAGACTAAAATATATTTAAACTAGAAAATCAACCTGTGACATGTTCAGGAGCTTAATGCAACTAGATAGCACTGTCATTCTGGGCGGGAAATTTAAGATACTGTTAAATCCATATATATTAACTAGCTGTACCTCTCTTTTGTCTGGCATTTTCAGTTGTCCTTGAAAGGCTTGATCTTCACTTCTTAGGCAGCTTTATCCCTTAAGATTAAGAAAATGTGCTATTGAACTCGTTAGCATCCCTTGTTCACATATTTGCATTCATCTTTTTGGGAGGACTTCTGGTTGGGAGGACTGTGCCATAATCGTTCAATCCTCTTTGGACACGGAGGCTCTGTGCCATAATCTTTCAATCCTCTTTGGACACTGAGGTGGTGCCAGAGGACTGGAGGGTTACAAATGTTACTCCCCTGTACAAAAAGGGGCAGAAAGATAAATCCAGGAACTGCAGGCCAGTCAGCCCAACGTCAGCAGTGGGGAAACGTCAGAAACTATAATCTGAGATAAAATACATTTTCACTTAGAAAAATATGGGTTAATAAAGGACAGCCAAGATGGGTTTGTTAAAGGCAAATCATGTGTAACAAACCTGATAGAGTTTTTGATGAAATAACGGAGAGGGCGGGTGAAGGCAGTGCAGGTGATGTAGTTTATATGGATTTTCAAATGGCTTTTGATAAAGTGCCACATAAGAGACTTGTCAGCAAAATAGAAGCCCCCGGTATTAAAGGGACAGTAGCAGCGGATACAGTCATTATACTTTATAGTATATCCTGTGAAGCAGTTTGAGAAGTCTCAACAATGTGATAAGGCGATAAGGCAATCAAATGCAACGATTATTATTATTACAGAGAGCAGAGAGCAGTGGTGAACGGTTTATTTTCTGACTGGAGGGAAGTGCAGTGGTGACCCCCAGGGGTCGGTATTGGGGCCACTGCTGTTTGTGATCTATATAAATGACTGGACTTGGGTATAGGGAGCACAAGTTTGCAGATGATACTGAGCTGGAAAAGTAGTAAACAGTGAGGAGGATAGAAACCGACTGCAAGAGGACATAGACAGACTGGTAAAATGGGCAGACACGGGGCAGATGAAGTTTAATGTGGAGAAATGTGAAGTGATGATTTCATTCGGCTTGCAATCCATTTCCAACTTCATTGACCGACAAGCTTTGCACTGTATAGATGAGTATCAAAACCTCACAGAGTGTGACGTTGGCAACCTGCTGTTCAGATGGAGATCCAGCTCAACGTCAGTGGTTATTCAGAATATAACGGCCCTCACAGTGGGCAATGTTAATCACTGTCCTAATCAGGGATGTGGGGGACATTAATGGAATTTTGTTTATAATAATAATATAATAATCCTTGCATTTGATATAGCACCTTATCATTGTCTTCTAGACATCTCAAAGCGCTTCACAGTATATACTGTAAAGTGAATTGACTGTATATTTTGTGGGTGAAACGCCCACAAAAAGTTTTTGAACCATTGCAATGAGAGAGAAGAGACTGAGAAATGAGTGCGTGCCGTTGAAGGCGAAATTGACTTGAATTATACATGGTAATACTGGGAGTCACTTATTTCTGCAATCAGTTTTCTTCATTAATGTTTGTGTTTTCCCCAGGCAAAGCTAATGCAGATCGAAAAAAAACTGGGATCAGCCGATCAGGCTCGAAATTCCTCTGCTGTGAAGAAAGCACAAGAGGTAGGTAATGAATGGGATCATCATTTCAATCTGAACAGCTAACCTGCAGCCTGAGTTTGCCCTGTGGTGATCCGTTCACAGGGCCATGGTACCCTGCAATGATGGTTATTTCCAACTTTATCTTAATTTCACGTAGAACCTAACCTTTGCTTATTCTGAATGCCTATTTATGTCTATGTCATATAATCCAGAAGATCTTCAAAAACCCCACAGTGTTTAGATCCTGTCCTGTCACGCTACTCTAAGTGAAGGCCACTATATAAATACAAGTTATTGTTGTTTGCCTGTTCAGGTGGACATTAAAGATCCCACGGCATTATTCAAAAAGAGAAAGAAGTTTCTCTCTCCCACTGTCCTGGCCGACATTCCCCCAAATAAAATTGGTTAGAGCACTCGCCTCGCAAGCAAGAGAGCTGGGTTCTATGCTCGGGCAGGGCGAAATGTTGGGCAAGTTTTTTTACTGTACACACCTCTGTTTACCTAGCAGTAAGTAGGAACCCGGTTATAAGTTGTTTGGCGGATCGCTTTTCCGAGGGTAATTAATACATTTTTCAATCCACGACTGTGGGATATGCCTGTGCACAATTGGCTGCTATGTCTTGCCCACAAAATACACAATCAATTTATTTTACAGTATGTTCTGTGAAGCGCTTTGAGACGTGTCAAAGACATGATAAGGCACTAATCAAATGCAAGTATTATTATTTATAACAGGGCTGCTCTGTATAAGCAGTTTACTCACAGGAACTCCACGGCCAACATACCAATAACTCACAGTTCGTGGAGTCCTGTAGCTCAGTGGTTAGAGCACTCGTTTTGCAAGCGAGAGACCTGAGTTCAATTCCCGGCAGAGGGCGAAACCTCGGGCAAGTTTCCTTACGCCACACAGAGCCTAATAATAATCCCTCCAAAACCAAAAACAATAATAAAATTGGCATTTTCAATCTACGACTGTTTGTGGGACATTGCTGTGCGCAATTGGCTGCCGTGTTCGCCCACAAATTTACAGTCAATTCACTTTACAGTGTGTTCTGTGAAGCGCTTTGGGACGTCCTTCCGACGTGAAAAGCGCTATATCAAATGCAAGGATTATTATTATTATTATATAACTCTCACTGTATCCAGAATGTGGCAAAATGGTGCTGTTTCTATCTGATCTGGGTTGGAAGCATTTTCTGAGGGATATAATATTTCTGTGAGCTGCAAATTATACAGTAGGGAGGAGAATAAGGAGAATAAGTAAGGAGGCTGAAAATGGAGAACAAAGGTGTATGTAGCTGAATGTACTGAGAAAAGGAATATATATATAACTTCAGGAATACATTGACATATTAGTGTTTTTTGAAACTGCAAGTGCTGGTAGCTTTACTCATACCATGTTGGAGTCCGTAGACACCCAGACCCCACAGGCAATATTTATTATGTTAACGGTGAGTTTCAATTTTGACACTGTTGCTTGGATTGGATTGAAAGTAATTAAGAAATGGAAAGAAATAAAAACAGAATTCGCTGGGAACACGCAGGTCAGGCAGCATCTATGGAGAGATGAAAATTAGTTAACGTTTCAGGTCAATGACCTTTCGCCTAACTCCGCCACTGTAAAGTACTCCGCGCCACATGTTGTTGTTGTTTCTGTAGGACGTGTTTTTGCAACTGATCATAGGTCCAAGCCAGTGAAATACCAATAGACAACACACTTATTCTGCCGGGTATCAATAGTCACTTTGTCGCCTTCAGTTATTGCAGCCGAGTCTTTCAGTTTGTATCGTCCAGTGTTTTGCTGTTTAAGATCCACTCATCAGATGGAATAGTGAGAGTGATGTGAAAATCCTCTGAGAATGTCCAGAGTTTTGTGTTAATGCATTTATTTAAGAGCTAGTAGGGCCACACTCTCAGCGATGTGAGAATTCGTCAGAAGACTTAACAGCTGCAGGCTCAAGATAGATATAGATCCTCCGCCCGATCCCCGGCCAGCGGTGTCAAACGCTTTGAGATGTCCTCCTGATGTGAAAACTTTGTGGCAGTTTATTGCTGTTTAAGCAGAGTATCGCAAAGAGAATCACTGTAATATTCTTTGAGCCACTCTGTTTAATGAACTCCAGAGTGGAGAGGGTGATGAGAAGAGTGAGAGAGAGAAATACAATATTTGTTATCTATTTATAAATAAATATTTGTTAGGTCAGGGAATTAACAGTTACGGGGCAAGGGCGTGTAATTGGATTTGAGGTACAGATCATCCATGACCTTGTAGAATGGCGGAACAGGCTTGAAGGGCTGAATGGCCTCCTATTTCTGTGTTCCTGAAGCTAAGTGATAGTTAGAGAGACTCGGTGAGAGGTCCTCTTCACTCCCAATGGAAGTTTGCTTCTCATTAGTACTGCAGCAGGTTGTACTTTCACTGTCTGCCATAATGAGTCCTTTTCCCCAATTAGCTTAGTTTACAGACTCTGTTCTATGCGTACAGGAGACCTGATGATTATATAACCAATATTACCAGCCACAATAATCACTTGCCTAACACGCTCCCACTCGGGCACAAAGCCACACGCGTCTATTGCATTAACTATTTCATACTAAGCCAGGGAGTGTTAATTGAATTGTAGGTAATAAATCAGCAAAGGTTTTCTTATGGCTTTGGATGTTCTGCTCACTTTATGACAAAGAGATTTAAAATGAAATTTTGAAACAGGCACTTAATACTGTGAAGTCTCGTGCTGCACATCCTGACAGGACAGGTGTACGGGGACACACCGAATGAATCCAGTCTTGATTTTCAGATTCCCAAACTAGATTGGATGAGGTTTTCTCATTCCAAAGTCAGTTGGCAGCAGATCTTGTGTGTTGCAGCACTTGTCCCTGTATTTGGCAGGAGCTAAGGACATTATATTTTCACCCACAAAATATACAGTCAATTCACTTCACGGTATATTCTGTGAAGCACTTTGAGACGCCTTGAAAACGTGATGGGGCACTGTATCAAATGCAAGGATTATTATGATGGAAGGGACAGGGTGATAGTGTCAGGGACTAGAGAGTCAGTACAGTATGACATCCAATTCATAAGACAATCCAGGATTAGCATCGACTATTTTTCTATATTCTGTCCAAAGCCCTTATTTCTTTGAGCAGGGTTGCTTCCAGTCCTGCAAGTTAAACCACATCAGTTGTATCTTCAAGGCACTAAAATTAGGCCTCAATCTCTTCCCACAGATGGAACACTGGAACTTGTGTGTTCTTAAAGCAGGGACCCAATGCTCAAATAGGAAACTTAGACGAAAATACATTCTTCAGTCAGGCATGTATCTATCTATCTGCGTGGAGTGCTCTATAGGTGCAAGTTGTTGTTGTCCATCTACATTTGCACGTGTTCAGATTTGAGAGTTACAGTCTAACAGTCACTGACAGCTGCAAAGTGACAATGTTTTAAACTTACGTTTTTGTCAATAACATCTGGCGATTTTAATGTGTAAAATTCTCTGGAGTTTTGTCTTTGCATGATGTCTTACTGCACAAGTGTGGGTCTTCACACAGGCTAGGGGCAGAGGACACAATATTATTCCTGGAAAAGCAACTGGAGATTATCTTCCCGTTTCCTATTGCGATTGTAAAAATGTGAAATTTTAATTGGATTGTTTTTCCAGGCTAATAATTCCCTCAAAAAAATTTTTAAAAATTGTTCACTCAATCCACGACTATTTGTGGGATGTCGCTGTGGGCACACCCACAAAAAATCGATTGACAATACAGTATATTCTGCGAAGCGCTTTGAGATGTCTCGAAGATGTGATAAGGTGCTGTATCAAATAGTGTACAAGGGTGCAAAGTTACCTCTATAAAGACCTAGTTATATTCCTGGTGTTTTAAACTCGACTGTGCCTTGGTGACCTGGGACACAACCTGGGTTTCCTGCTCTGCTGTGGAGAGACATTACTGGCGTCTCACCTTAATTCACTGACGTCAAATGACACATGACCAAGACCTAATGACTGGCCAGGGGGAAACAAGGCCATTCATTCAAGTAAGTGAGCAACATTCTTTGTTTATTTTAAAAGCTGTTAATTAAGATAAGTGTTTATGACTTGCATAGTTATTGTAGTTGACTTATGTATACTGCAAGTTTAGATGAATGTAGCAGTCATGAGTTTTTGCCACCCATCGATCGCTACATGTTAAAGAGGAGCCCATGCGTGACAGTGATCTGGTGAGTGGAATTTATTCCTCAAATGACAGGATGCTGAAGTTGTACAGGGCAGTAAATAGAGTACATTTCGCATACTGTGTGTTTCGGATCTTTGTTCTACACACAACTTCAGACTGTTAGAACTCTGCGCCTTTTGGGGCTCAAAGCTTTCAGCCCTGATGCTGAGTTAGCAATTTAGCCGAGAGAGGATGAAATACAGGACTGGATTCACGGTTCTAGATTGGGGTTTCTGGTGAAGATCTGGAATTTATACCTGGTGAAAAAGTGACTGCTCGCCTGGAAATATATCAAGCTTAAACCTTACTCTGTGAATATTCTGGTAACTACTCACCAGGAAATGTTTTATGTTTAGTGAAATTTAGCTGTGGTAACTCTGCATGTGAACAAACAGGGCATTGAAAATCGTTTAATAAAATGAGGTGAAAGTGATGTTGAGTTTTGCCCTTGTTGGCTCGTTTTGCTTGTTGTTCCTTCTCTCTCCTCCTATTGGACCAATTCAAGTTCAGAGGGAATCTTATTCTTTTTTTAAAAAATGATTTCTTCATTAAATTTTGAAGAAGATTTGCAGGCTTTACTGGCAGGTTCTCCTGNTTTTTTGTCTCAGATGCCTGCGCTCTTTCAGCCACAAATACAGTTTGATTTGGACATCAAAGACACACTCACGTTGGCAGAGAAAGCTCAGAGGCAGCAATTTGGCAAGATCCTTGTGGATAAGGAGCAAATCCCACAGCGGGATAGTAGGATTTCCTGGAATTCACTGAGCCAGGCTGCGGTAGAGAAAAGAGGGGTTGTGTTTCAAGATAGGACGGTCTATATTACATTTCACAAGCCGATTACAAAGAAGCAACAGAACTCGTTGCCGGGGTATAAGATAGTCTCTCGTAGATTTGACAGCCCTGTGCCAAAAAAGCAGCAGGCTCCACCGCAAGAGGGCCAAGCTCCCTATCACACCGTCGAGTCTGGTCCAGAGAAACGAATGGTCGTCGTTCCAGATCGACGATTGTCAGAAACATCGGGCAAGCCGATCGTGTTGACGGAGCAAGTTCTCTTGGAACCCAATCACACTGCACAGAGTAAATGTGCTAAATCTACTGCGGGCAGATTTATTGCCTTCCGCAGTCATAGATTCGGTAAGTGTACAGTAAAGCACGAAGTCCCATTGCACAAGTGTAGGACATCAGCGGGCAAACCTATCGTGTTAAAACAACAATCTTCAAAGCAGTGCCGTGCAGCACAGTATACTGCACTTATCCAGCGTGTTGCTGATGCACAACCAGTTATGTTACGCAATAATAGTTTTACTAAACTTAGCCTGAAGCGGGAAGCTCCATTACAAGATTGGCACGACAATAGAATTTCGGCTCTATCAAACGCACTGGTTATGGTAAAGCAGCAGCCTCTATCGCTGTGTAATGGAGCTGGCCCTACACATGGGCATTCCACTACAGATAAAACCCAGATTGCTTTACCAGATAATCTGACTCACTCTCATACAGTTTTGGAATCCAAAGTGGAGCTTCCGTTACAAGTGGGTAAAAATTCCATGAAGGCTTTTGTTGAGTTACCTCCAGAGAAACAACTTGTCAAGAAAAAGCAAGAGCTTCCTCTGCAAAGGTATTGCAGTCTGTACAGGAGCTCAGCAAAGTCTATTACACAACCTCACGTGGTGTTGCGTGAGAGCAAGATGCCCTGTGATGCTCTCAGTGGGCCTGTTGTAGAGTATAAGAGTGTAATATCTGAGGAGCTTCAGACTCCTTGCAGTGTATTGAGCGAGCCAGTTACAGAGCATCACCCTCCTGTGTTGCAAGAGTCCAGGGCTCCTTGTGTAGAATCAAAGATTCCTCTGCCAGATAACAGCACTCTGTACGAGCTGTGTAACCCTGTGGCAGAAAGCAAGACCCAGGTGATTGTACAGGATAGTAGCATTCCCTACAATACCAAGAGAGCCACGGCCTGGGGAGTGAGAGCCTGGGACGAATGGGCAAAGAAACAGAATCGTTACCTGATGGAGAAAACTCTGAAAAACGATGAGTCCTTCCTTTACGTGCCCTCACTGTCTCACGAGATAACTCACGGTGAACTGAGTTTCTGGTTGTGTCGCTTTGTGGAAGAAGTCCGTCGGCAGGACGGATCCTTGTACCCGCCCAACTCTCTCCGGCTGCTTTGTTGCTCCATCCTCCGCTACCTGCGGGAAACCTGCAAGCGATTGGACATCGATTTCTTCAACAAGTATAACCTGGAGTATAGTGAATTCCGCACTGTCCTGGAGCACCGGATGAAACAACTCAAACAGCAAGGAATCGGGATGGTGAGGAAACAGGCACAGCCTTACACAGAAGAGGAAGAGGAGAACCTGTGGCGAGTTGTATTTCACCTCCAAGACGCTAAGAGCTACAGTTACGCCGTGTATTTCTACCTGTGTAAAGTGTTTGGCGTGCATGCTGCAGCCGAGCACAACAAACTGACAGTTGATCAGTTTAGCTTTGCCAGCGACGAGGTGGGAGAATACCTGGAGTTTGTGGCCAGACCGTACAGAGACGGAATCCAGAGGACAAAGAGACACACTCGTCAGTACGCGGACTTGTCCAATCCGAGGTGCATAGTTTCTGTGTTTCGTCGCTATCTCGGTATGATTCCCGGCGAGGGCCCATTTTATCGCCGACCCCTTCCCGGGCGCTTGGAGCTGTGCCGACAGGCCATCGGAGTTCACACTCTGGAGAGGTACTCCAAGGAGATCTGTGAGGCGGGCAACATTAAAGGCCGTCACACTGGCCAGTCTGGAAGGGTAAGTATACCCAGTGGCTTATCAATGTTAGATGGAAAATTCACCTCCTGTTATGTGTCCAGTGGATTAACAATACTGTGTGTTGGGAGTTGGGTCCATTGACAACCATTTTGTGTTTTTGTGCTATATTTATTTCACATCGTGTTCACGCTTTTGCTATACTTACATCTTTTTTTAAAGTTCAAATGACAAAGTGCAGAGAAAGGTTTGCAAGTGTGAATTTGGAAAGCTAATAAAGAACTGGTGGATCATCAACATTTTGTATTTTATTTTATGCAGTTTGTTTGTCTGTTTTAGCCCCACTTTAGTGTTGCTTCTAATCCTCTCTCAACCTCTCCCTCCATATCCACTCCGCCACCCACGTCCACAGTCATGCCCTCGACCTGGTGATCACTCGGGGCTTCACCGTCTCAGACCTCACCATCATCGACAAAGTGATCTCGGACCATCACTTCATCTCCCTTAACTCCTCAATTCCTCTCCCCACCGCCTTCCAACCCGCCTCCATCTCCTTCCCTTCTAGGCTTCCTCCTGCTTTGACCTATCCTCCTCGGTCACTCTTCTCCACAGCTCCCTCTCCTCCACTCTCGATTCCCTCGCTCCCCTCTTTTCCTGAACTATCTTCTATTTATGTCTACTACACCCTCACCATCTTTCCCCCTCCCACCCCGGCCCCTACCCATCCCTCTCTCCGCAACTTCGAACCTGTCTCCCACTTCTCTCTCACCACCAGTATAACCAGCATGAACCGACCACTTGCTCCCTCGATCCTATGCCTACCCCTTGCCTCAACTCCCAGTTCCACCTCCTTGCCCCTCTACTCACAGACATCATAAACCTCTCCCTGTCCACTGGTACTGTTCCCACCCCATTAAAAACGGTTGTCATCAATCCTATCCTTAAAAAAACGCATATCCCTGGACCTCTCTCTACTCTCAAACTACCGCTCCATCGCCAACTTCCCTTTCCTCTCCAAGGTCCTGGAAAGATGTTGTTGCTTCGCTCCTTTCTCTCCTGCCACTCCCTTCACAACCCCCCCCCAATCAGGTTTCCGTGCCGCTCACAGGATAGAAACAGCCCTAGTCAAAGTGACATGATATTCTGTCCATCTGTGACCAGGGTTGCCTCTGCTTCCTTGACCTCTCAGCTGTCTTCAACACTGTCGACCACTCATCCACCGCCTCTCTCACCGCAACCTTCACGGCTCTGTCCTTGCCTGGTTCAGATCGTACCTCTCACACCGCCTCCACTTTATCTCCACAAATGGTTTCTTCTCTAGCCCCTGCACAGTCTCGTGTGGCGTTCCTCAGGGCTCTGTCTTTGGTCCCCTCCTCTTCAATATTTATATGCTCCCTCTTGGTGACATCATCTGCAGACAGTCAACTCCCACATGTATGCGGACAACACCCTCTCTGCCTCCACGCTCGACTCCAGGACCCACTGCTGTCCTGACAGAATGTCTGTCAGACATCAAGTCCTGGATGAGAGTTAACATTCTTCAGTTGAACGTCAACAAGACCGAGGCTCCTGATTGGCTCCCGTCAGTGTCTCCTCACCTCAGGCGCTGACAGCATCACGATCCATGATTGCAAACGCCACCTTGCTAAGCCTTGTTTGATCCTTAACTCTCCTTTCTACCCCATATCTGTGCCGTGACCCGCTCTGCCTTCCCCCACCTCCGCAACATCGCTCGGCTCTGCCACTGTCTCACACCCCAGTCCACCAAGACCCTCATACACACATTCATAACATTGAGGCTTGAGTATGCAAACTCCCTGCTTAGGCCTCCCCAACTCCTCACTCCATAGGTTGCAGATCATCCAGAACTCTGCAACCCATGTTCTCTCCCGCACCAGGCTCTGTGACCCTATCACCCTATCCTTGCCCGATTCCACTGGCTTCCCATCACACAGAGGATGTTCAATGACCAGATTGTGTCTTTGTTTGACCCCCTCTCCCACCCCTCGGCAGACAACTGCGCACAGCAGTGTCCCACAAATAGCCGTAGATTGAGTGACCAACTTATTATTTTTTTATATATTGTTAAATGGAGTGGGTGCATATTTTGTGGGCGAAAGCTTAAACTCCTCATATCCAGTATGTCAAACAGGCAATGTTTAGGCATTAGCAAGCTCCTGCTTTGAGATGGTATCTGGCATTGGAAAAAGTTATATTCTTGCTGGCTACTACTCAGGGTGTGAAGCTGAAGTTAAAGAGTAGCCGGATCTCAGTTCTTTTTTAACCTATGAAATGAATGACGCGTGAGGGCAGTTCTGTGTTTTCCCATCAGAACATGTTCACTCTCACTGCAGCTCACGGAGGGGCTCCAGTGGCAGAATTTAACATGACAGCAGGTAACCAGATATAAAATGCATGTTGTTTGAGTATTTAAACATTTAATCTCAATCGCCAGCCCCTGATAATCTTATAAGGATATTTGTGACAGTGAAGGAGTTTCATGCACAAAATGGTGTATGAAGGAGCTTATGACTACTCCAACAACAACAATTTGCATTTATATAGCGTCCTTCTATGTTACACTGCAGTTTCTCCCTCTTATTGTTATAGTTCTTAATATTTCTACAACTGGATATTTATTCCAGTGAAATATTGTAAAAACTCACAAATGCTCAAGTTATCGAAACCTTCATTTGCTTGGTATAAAAACGGGTGTTTTTGAAGGAAAAAACTTAATTTCATTCAGGCTCGTGTGTTATTATTTAATAATGATGAAAGCTTTGTCATTTGACCATTAAAAATACAATTGTAAAGTGTTGCTTTAGTGCCTAATACTGTGTGTCTTTAGTGTCGATACAGTGGAGCTTTTAAGATCATCTCAAATTGTCAGTGTTTTTACACATTAGGAATATTCCTATATTAGAGACTGAATTCCTCAGCACAGCAAACATTTGATTATCAGTAGTCGCTGGGAACACACAGCAGGTCAGGCAGCATCTATGGAGAGAGGAAAATGAGTTAACAATTCAGGTCAATAACCTTTACTCGAGACAAAACGTTAACTCATTTTCCTCTCTCCATAGATGCTGCCTGACCTCGTGCTATTATTTCAGATTTCCAGCGTCTGCAGGATTTCGATTTCATTTGATTATCAGAGTAGATGTGAAGCGGCTCCACTGTGTGAGGCTGCCTGCCTGGCTGCTGAGCTCGGAATGCCTCTAGCTTGTGTAACCACTGTTCTTTTTTACTATTGCAGTCAAAAATACAACATGCCCCACCATAACATAACACGCTGATGGACTTCTTTAATATCCTTCTCCCTCTCTCTCTGCTCACCTCAAAAAAATCACTTTCTGGGCAGAGGCTTCGAGATGACAGATCATTCCTGGCTGACTTACTCAAACTTAATTTGACCATTTCTTTGTGCTTTAGCAACTGAAATGTGTGCAGCATTAATATCTTTTCATTTTAACATATCCTTAGTCCGGGTGGGAGGGGGCTCACACACAATATGGAGGCGGCTTATTGTATTTTTGTTGCAATACAAATACAGTATAATCCACTTTAGATTGAAACATTCAACAACTGAAATTTGCCAGGATCTCTGAGCACATTTATGACAATAATTACATTAAACAATGACATGACACATCATTATCAGGCTGAGAAGATTGAAAAACACTTTCTAAAAAGCAAAACTTTTCGCTATTTAACCAGTGTCCATTAATGAGGACGATTTTATGATTTCCCTTCAATGGGCAGAGAAGGAGAGAGGATTTCTTTGTCGATTCCAGCAGCCAAGCAACTGGAGTTTGTTTTGAATCTTCGGTAACCAATTGAAAGTTTGTAGATGATTTCTTCTTTATGCTACATGAGAAGTGGAAATTTTGGCTGACTGAATTATATCTGCTTGTATGTCTTTTCTGGGCATACTGGGTCAGTCATCTTATTATAAAAAAGACTTTGCATTTGAAATAAATCCTCCTTACTGCTTTCCTTCCCCCAAAACAAAACATTGTGCTTTGTCGTTCTCAATGTTCCCCTTTTTGGAGCAAATCTCCCCCTATCCTAAGTGTTCATTTTTAAGTTACCTTACTTCCTAATAATAATAGAAATAATGCCTTCCAAAAAAATAATAATAATTTGGTCACTCAATCTACGACTGTTTGTGGGACAGTGCGCAATCGACTGCCTTGTTTCGCACACAAAATATATAGTCAATCCACTTTGCAATACATGAGGCGCTTTGAGATGTCCCGAAGATGTAATAAGTCACTATGTCAAATGCAAGGAATATTATTATTTAATAAGTTGTTAAAATGTATGATTCACGTTGCCACTTTTCCACACAATTTGCAGTCTTACAAAACCATTCACAATTATACAGCGCCTTTCACGTCGGGAGGACGTCTCAAAGTGCTCAACAATGCTTAATCAGCCTAAGATGGGGTTAGCGTGGCGAGGGAAAGATGACCAAAAGACAAAGAAAACTTGCACACAATGCAAGGGTTGAAATTCCAATTTGTGTTGCACCTAGTTGAGGTTGGCTATTAATTGGATTTCCCATTCTAACTGCATTTGTTTTGTAAATCTTCTTGTCCCACCTCTGAAAGAAAGATTCTTGGGTCCTTCTTAGTAATAATCTTTACACTTTCCAAACTTGTGTGCCAGTCATTGCACATGATGGTTTGACTTGAGTTCAGTGGTTTTGGTGTAAATTGATGTGTTGAATGTTTCTCTGAGGGAAGGGAATAGAAGCTTGCTGTGATTTCATAACTTTTCTTTAGTTTGGCCACCAGCAGCAATTCACACCTTAATATCTTATACTCATAGTTTGGCAAATGTTTATCCAATGTTGCGTGCCAACTGATTCCATTTCTTCTGTTACTTTGTAAACCCTGTATAATGTTGAGGCATGTGCAAATGGTATGGATTTCCTTGCTGCCTTATTGGGGCACACTTCATGTCAGTTTACTTTCAACTGACCAAAAAGTAAAACTGCTTCTGGAGTCTTTTCTAGGTTTTATCTAATCTCATCTTCCTCTGAAGAAGCCCAAATTGTAAGAGGAGTACTGTAGCGCTGCTTGAAATTCCAACCTGATTTACAATCTGTCCAGAATTGCAAAGCGAGATTGTTTGTAATTTGTACCAAGCCCTCTCTCTGTAGCCCCCTAATGAAAAGTCTCAGTGACCAACTTCAGAAATCCAGCCTCTTTGCTCAACCCCCGGTGCGTAATGATCTTCGTAGGCTTATTTTTCTCTTTTGTCTGCATCCGTTTGTTGTAGGTCAGCAGTGTAGCTGCCCTTCACAGTCGTGGCTTTGATGAGGAGCTAATTAAGGAACGAATGGGAAATGGCAGTAATGCAATGATGTCCTACAAAAAGACTCAAATGAAGGCTGTATCTGACTGTTTGCAGCCTCCAAACCCTTTGAAGAAGATCTCAGCTTGTTCAAAGCCGTCCTCTTCCTCAAGAGAACCAACTGTTTTTGCAAGGGAAGCTGCGAGTGCGGTCACCAAGGCCGAGGCAACGGTTCTGGAGCAGGAAGCATTGGGGACCTGAATTGCCTTATAGTACACACTCAGCATTCTCAGTGTCTTCTGCTGAACCTACAGCAGCATCACCAGCTCCTTGTGCTGCTAAACATCTCACAGTAGTGAGCAAAGACACAGTTAGATTGTAAGAATGTCAACCAATAAACTGACCAGGAGGGAAAATCCCCAAATGGTGTGGTTCCTGCTTTCTCAATACACAGCAGTATTTGTGTTAGAGTTGTGGAGAAGACTGTGTCTTATTGAAACTCCCTCCCACCTGCAAGAGGCTTCATATGAGATGAGGACTGGGGCATGGCCGCACTACATTTTAAGAGTGGTATTTTACACTTGGCTAGAGTGTGAAATGTTTAGTCAGTTTACAAGACAAATCTTTTAAAGCACTTTCTCTTACTGATGATGCTAAATGAATTCCTGTGTGTGTGTGCACGCGCACGTTTGTGTCAGTGAAGTTATTTTTTTCTTGTGTTTAATGAGTAACTGAAGTTTTAACACAATGTTAACTGTGTGTCTTCACAATTAAAGATTCTTCAAGCCTGTATATCTGGTCTGTTGTATTCTATTCCAGTTTGCCAAATGATCTACAGTAAAACGCTTATAAAGTTGACCCAGCACGGTTGTCATTCGATCGGCGGATCGCTTTCCAGGGTTAATAATTCCTTCAAAAAATAATAATAATTTGGTCACTCAATCCACGACCGTTTGAGGGACGCTGTTGTGTGCAATTGGCTGCCGCGTTTTGTCCACAAAATACACAGTCGATTCACTTTATAGTATATTCTTTGAGAGGTCTCGAAGACGTGATAAGGCGCTATATCAAATGCAAGGATTATTATCTGTATAAATGTATAATCGCCTATCGTACATCTGCCTATAGTCCCGTTCAACAGTTTATATCTATATAAGTTTGACATAACTCCTACTTTTCATAAGTCATATTAAATGTATGGTCCCAACTGATACGGCTTATGTGAGGCTTACTGTATTAGTGTGGGTTACTGCTTTATACCATAGTTTTACATTTTTACGTGGTGCAAATTACAGCATATGAACAGGAACCAAATGCTTGTGGCTTTGTTTGAAGGCACTATGATTTCTTGTTTGACAAGAGTGCTCCTTAAATACATTTTAAGGAGACAACAGTTCAGGCTATTTTGTACACCAAGCTGAGGGTGGGTGGTGACTCCACCTGATCTTAGGCCGGCTGACCAGCTATTTCAGACTTGTTACATCTTATACATCTTCATTTCATATAGAAATCATTAATGAGGCCATTACTCTATTATATGTATATATATATAGAATATATACATATAATACAGCAATGGCCTCATTAATAGAATATATATATATTAAAAAATGTGATCACTCAATCCACGACTTTGTGGGACGCTGCTGTGTGCGATTGGCTGCCACATTTCGCCCACAAAATACATAGTCAATTCACTTAACAGTATATTCTGTGAAGCGCTTTGAGACGTCTCGAGAGAGAAGATAAGGCTTTGTTTCAAATGCAAGGATTATTGTAAGTATTATTTGGGGTTAAAAGTTGATTTTGTCCCACGGAGTCCTGTAGCTCAGTGGTTAGACCACTCGCTTTGCAAGCGAGACACCTGGGTTCAATTCCAGGCAGGGAAACTTTGGGCAAGTTTCCTTACTCCACACACCTAATAATAATCTCTCCAAAACAATAATAAATTGGTTATTTTCAATCCAGGGCTGTTTGTGGGACACTGCTGTGCACAATTGGCTGCCGCGTTCACCCACAAATATACAGTCAATTCACTTTACAGCATATTCTGTGAAGCGCTTTGAGACGTCGAGAAGATGTGAAAAGCATTATATCAAATGCAAGGATTATTATTATATCTCTAACTTTACAATCTGACCCAAAGTTATGTTTTTCACACAGGCACAAACATCTTGCATCTAGAGATTGTGTCCTCTAGTTAACGACCCACCCGCCATATATTGGACCTATATCTCTGTAGGTTTATTATTTATTATTATTATTGGCAATGCTTCAGGCGTCTTTGCATATAGTACTTCTCTCCTCTGCCCTCGACGCCCCCATTAAACTGCCTTCAGTTTGCATAATGCTAATTCCTGAGGTTACCCTCAACGGCCATAGAATCCCAGATAATAGTATGTCTGGGTTCACCCACATGAGTCCAGCCTTTTTTTACAAGAAAATCACAAAGATGATTCAGGCCTTTTGCCCAGGCACTAAAATAGGTCCAATATATTACGGGTGGGTCGGTAACCAGAGGACACAAATTTAAGATAATTGGCAAAAGAAGCAGAGGGGAGATGAGAATTTTTTTTTTACGATCTGGCATGTACTGCCCAGAAATGTGATGGAAGCAGATTCAATAGTACCTTTCAAAAGGGAATTGGATAGGTATTAAAAAAAGGAAAAATTTGCAGGCTATGGGTAAGAGCAGGGGAGTGGGACTAGTTGGATAGCTCTTTCAAAGAGCAGGCACAATGGGCCGAATGGTCTCCTTCTGTGCAGTAAGATTCTGGAAGAGATTTCCAAACCAAATGGAACCATATTTATAGATTCAAAAGCATCATTTGCTGTAAACGTCACCATTATATATCATTTGCAGGGATTATTATTGCTCAGTCCTACAAATTGGAATGGCTACTCACTGCAAACGTATGTTCCAGTGAAATTGTAGACATAACTATGGGTATGATGTGAAATAGACAATCTATTGTGGAGTCCTGTAGCTCAGTGGTTAGAGCACTCGCCTCGCAAGCGAGAGATCTGGCAAGACAAAACGTTGGGCAAGCTTCCTTACTCCACACGCCTTTGTTTACTTAGCAGTAAGTAGAAACCTGGTTGTTAGTCGAATAGCAGATTGCTTTTCCGTAGGTAATAATCCCTTCAAGTAAAAAAAATAACTTGCTGACTCAATCCACGACTGTTTATGAGACACTGCTGTGTGCAATTGGCTCCCACATTTCGCCAACAAAACATAGTCAATTCATTTCCCATATATTCTGTGCTTTGAGGCATCTCAAAGACTTAATAAGGCTCTATTATCAAATACAAGGATTATTATATTCTGTGTGGAAAAGACTGCTTCCTGTTGAGGCAGATTTTTACACCCTATAAGCTTAGCTACACAAGACTAGTGATGTTCTATTTTCATGTTGACAATAAATCCACGTTTGTCACCTGCAGCGGAATTCCAATTTGAGGTTATGTGTTTGACACTTGTTTTACATTGACTTTGATTGATTAACTGACGCTGCCTGATATATCAAAGTGGAGACACTCATTTCAGTACGTGGATATACAGTCCCACTCCTCACCTGCCATCGATTCTCATCAAATAACGGCAAGCACGATTTGTATCAATATATTTGTTATGTCTGGCGTGAGGGTGTTAGTGTGCGCTGTTAGAATGAAAGGGAACAGAGTTCCTTTCAAATACAACAGTTGACTATAGAGGATACTGAACTCTTTTGTTCTCAATTTGTTCCTAGATCATACCAGCCTGGCACTGGCACAGCTGATATGATAGCATTCTCACCTCTAAGTCAGAAGGTTGTGGGTTCAAGCCCTACATCAAGTCTTTGAATTTAGATAGTAAAGACTTCATATTCCAGGACAATGCTGGGGGTGTGTGTTGCATTGTCAAAGATGGGTCCTTCTGATGAGACATTAAACCGAGGTCACTGTTCAGGTGGATGTTAAAGATCCTGTGGCAGGGTTGGAGAGAAGGGAATTTCTCCTGGAATTCCACAGATAAAATTGTTCATTCCCTTCATGGCTGTTTGTGTGACGTTGCCGTACACAAATTCACTGCTAGAATTGTCCAGAAATCGTCCCTCTGTGAAGAGCTTTGGGACATCTTTTGATGTGATTTTACAGTACATAGTTTGGGACACAACATATCAAGCCACTACTGCCAGGATGGTGAAAGGCAAACTAGATGAACCTTGGTCTTCTTTCGTCAGCAAATTCTTATGTTCTTATGATAAGGCGCTGTATCAACAGTGAGGATTATTATTATTAATCACAAGACTTTAATCTACTTTTTGATTTTGTTTCATTCAGAACACGCCGGCCTCGACAACTCAGCAGTCGCCAGGATTACAGTCTGCTCAGCCTGTGTCACCCAGCAAACCCTACAGCTCCTCTGGTGGGGTGCAATGCCGCAGGTAGGAAGCCTCTGCCTCTTTATCCCGTGTTTATGTGCTGCGTTTTTGCCAGATAATGAGGTAATCTCAGTTTAATCTAACCTGAACGGGCGATAAAACTTCCCCGCTCATCCCTTCAAAACAAATTATTTTTTAATTTGGTCACTCAATCCACGGCTGTTTGTGGGACGCTGCTGTGCGCAATTGGCTGCCCCGTTTAACCCACAAAACATCCAGTCAATTCACTTCACAGTATATTCTCTGAAGTGCTTTGAGACGTCTCGAAGACGTGATAAGGCGCTGTACTAAATGCAAGGATTATTATTATCTCAGCACCCTTCCCCATCATGAGAAACTCATGCAGTTAAGTAGACATGGATGCGGCTAAATGGCTTTCTAATGTAATTTGTTTGTTCTTTTCCCCAGTGGGACAGTCAGGCAGATGCTAGACCTCCGAAGAAATATGCTAGACAGTACATCCTCCAGCCAGCCTCTAGCAAACTCCGGTATTACAGGTACCTGAGACATGCAATAGGTCTGTGATTGGGTCTGTGCTAATAGTAGTTTGCCTTTTCCCTCATGGCCTTTGGCTTGTTATCCAGGCACACACAACCACTCATTTGCTGATCATAGCGGGAGATTGACAAATCGATGCCTTTTGACAACATTTGTTGTGTTAATCAATAACGAGTGGGCAGGATGGTAGGTGGTTAGGAGGCCGCAGAGAGAAGGGGAGCGAGGCCATCGAGGCTTTGAAGGTGAGGACCAGGATCCTGAACTGTATCCTCTGTGATGGGAAGCCAGTGGAGTCGGGCGAGGATGGGGGTGATAGGGTCATGGAGCCTGTTGCAGGAGAGGACACGGGCTGCAGAGTTCTGGATGATCTGCAGCCTATGGAGGGGAGGAGTTTGCATAGTCAAGCCTCGATGTTATGAATGTATGAGGGTTTCGGCGGCCTGCGGCGTGAGACAGTGGCAGAGTCAGGCGGGTCATGGCATAGAAGTGGGGTAGAAAGGAGCATTAAGGGTCAAACAAGACTCCAAGGTTCCGGACTGGCTTAGCAAGGTGGCGTGTGCAACCATGGATGGTGATGCTGTCAGCGCCTGAGGTGAGGAAGCGCTGATGGGAACCTCAGTCTTATTGACTTTCAACTGAAGAAAGTTCGCTCTCATCCAGGACTTGATGTCTGACAGACATTCTGTCAGCACAGCAGTGGGTCCTCGAGTTGAGGGTGGAGGCAGAGAGGTAGAAATGGGTGTCGTCTGCATACGTGTGGAGGTTAACCCCATGTCTGAGGATGATGCCACCAAGAGGGAGCATGTACATGTTGAAGAGGAGGGGACCAAGGATAATTCACTTTACAGTATATTCTGTGAAGCACTTT